TCAGACACTTCCTAGAGTATTATGACTCTGATTTGGGGTGCATTTTTATTCCACAAGGCGTATGATTCCGGGAATCATTTGACGACGTACGGTGTAAAAATACACCCTCAACCAGTGTCATAATACCCTAGAAAGTGTCTGATTCCGGGTGTAATCGGACTCCAGAAAACTGCGCGTTTTTGGTACGCTTCAAAAAACACCCCTTTTAGGTGTCATTATTTTTTTCAGTGTAGAAACATAACGAGATCTGACCCAAGGTCGGGCCGGCTATAGTAATTGAGGCACTGAGGGACAGTACCTAAACTGAAATCAAAAGACATTTTGAAATTAAGGTCTTTGATAAACTTCGCCAGCAGTCTGTCATAGACAAGGAACCCATTCAATGAGCAGTATAATAACTACCGGCGAGCCAATCGCATAAAGATGCGACAAAAAGGACGTTCGGGTGCAGCGCTGGCCGGCGACAATAGCAGCTCCATTCCCGACATATCGACAGCCACTTGCGATGCGTGTTTGTGTAGAACATGGTGTGGGGGTGGCTGGTGACTCAGCCCTTGGCCGAGAGGGGGGAGGGAGGGGGGAGGTGTCACAGGGGCTGACGAACTCACGGCTCTGGATCGCCTGCCAGAGTCACAACCCAGCAAACATGACGACGTCGGCCCAACGTCGGTTCAACCTCGGCCCGACATCGGCTGGACGTCGGATATGCCCACATGTTCCGACGTCCAGCCGAAGTCCAGCCGACATCGAGCCGACGTCGGGCCGAGATCGTTTGCCGAGGTTGACGAGATCGTTTGTCGTTGGACCGACGGGGCCGACGTCGGCATGTTTATTGGGACAACGCGCCAAAAATATCAACCGGCGGCGGGATTCGAGCCCCCCAGTCGCCGACGTCGGCATGTTTACTGGGACAACACGCCAAAAGCATCGGCCGGCGATGGGATTCGAACCCCGTGTCATTCGAACGCGAGGTTATTGCGCTAACCACTACACCACGCAGCTAGCTAATGAAATTGGTTTGTTTTGTTGTCTTATGCCCTTTCGGTCTGACAAGACCATTTGAGAGCCGGAAGGATCATAGGATGGAGACATTGGTCTTCTTGGCGAGCACCCTGGGTCCAGTTCATTAGAGTCCCTGGTCCCATTGCTGTTACGTGACACTTATTGGAAAGGGCGACCCCACAATGTTTTCATATAGCGGCATAGCCACTCTTACACACCTGCACCAACGTTTCCCAAAGTGTCCCTTTGATAAGTGGCACTTTGGCAAAGTGACACTTGCCGACTGGCCTTTCTTATATGAACTGGGCCCGGCCCTGGTGAGTTGCCGGGGCTGAGCCTGACCAAAGGATAGGCCGAGCAGCCCCCAAGCACTCACCGCACCCGGCTACGGGCGAGCTCGGCTTACGGGCAATCCCAAATGGGATAAAGTTTCCCGTCCAGTCCGGACCACGTCGACGTCGCCCCGACGTCGGCCCGACGTCGGCTGGACCTCAGCAATTGATCTCGGTCCGACGTCGGCCCGATGTCGGCTGGACCTCGGCTGGACGTCGGAACATGCGGGCATATCCGACATCCAGCCGACGTCGTGCCGAGGTTGGACCGACGTCGGGCCGACGTCGGCATGCCGATGCCGAGTTGCCGACGTCACCCCGACGTCGGCCGACGTCGGGCCGACGTCGGCATGTTTACTGGGAAGGGAGCCAGAGTCAGAGAAGCTCGGACTAAGCGCAGTTTGGATAGCGAGGCAGCATTCTCGAATGATGCCCACACGATCGAATTACAAGTTGGCAGTTGCCACCTGTATAATGGCATGTTTGGTATGTATAATGGTATGTTTGGTATGCTAGAATAAGCGGTTATTGTATTGCTGAAACCCTCCGACTAATCTCAGCGTATAGGTTTGTTTCTGTTAGTAAACCGCAGAAAATGAGGCTTTTATCCGGTCTCTCGTGACACCATATGGTCAGGTAACAACACACAGAGGATGGTAATTCCAGCACGAACAAAATCAGTATATCACAGTGCCAATGTAAAACGCATTAGAGGAAGAGCCGCGCGGGCCATTTCGCAAGGACGAGCTGTCAACCTCCAACAGCCTTGTCCAATAAATCAACGCCCACGTCAATCTCTGCGCCGTCAACGTCGCAGAAAGGTCGACGCTCGTGAGAAGGCTCGAATCCGTGTGGCCGACATGTGCATTGAAGCCGGATACAGTCGCGGCGTCACGCGTGCCTCGCCAGGTCGGGCGTCACGCCGGGCTCAGGTCACCCTCATGTCAGAGCCTCCCCGCTGAATAACTCTCCTCCGCTCTGTGTGACGATCTTGGGAGCCGACGGGCGGACCTCTCTTCGATCCTGCGAGCGTCAGGCCGGTCGATTGCGGGCCATTTTTTGTCGGTTGCACCTGTGAGCCGATGTGCAGACGGCACGATGGACAGGCGCTCCGTGACTGACGGGAGCGCGGGCGCTTTGACACACCGAACACGATCGCAGGTCGCGGCACCGTTGTCTCCAGGCTGTTCACGACGTGCCGCTGTGGCCAGGCGACAGAGAAATCGATGTTAATCTCCCATTTACAATCCGGTGGTATGCGCTCGATTCTTAGATCATGATCGAAGTACATGAATCGAGAGTAAGCCTGAATCTTGATAAATTTTATGCGTGTGCTTGAAGCGAGCAGCCAAACGTAAATAACAAGACGTCACCTGCGTCCCTTTCAGTATGCACTAGAACCGAATTCACGCTAAGTTTGATTTCCAATTAAATCTGCACTCCTGAATTCGTTTAGTGCTTGCTGAATGTAAGACAGTTAAATTGTTTAATCGTTTTTGAATGACCTCCTTACAAAGTTATACTTTTCATTCATGTATTTTTTGTTTTAGATGAATTTTCGGCCACGGGCCATGATCACTTCAATACCAAAATATAAGAATATTCGAAGACAAAATACAATTTTTATTTTGTCTTCGAATATTCTTATATTTTGGTATTAATGTGATCATGGCCCGTGACCGAAAATTCATCTAAAACAAAAAATACATGAATGAAAAGTATAACTGCGCTACCCGTAACTTATTCCCCCATTGCATTAGCCGTTTTCACGATGTTGGTGCACATTTGGTACACATTCGGCCATCTGGTACACATTTGGTGTAGATTAGGTGTAGCTTTGGTACATATTTGGTCAAATTAGGTTCATTGTAGTCGTTTTATCACGATGGGCTATCTGGCGAATGCAAATACTTTGACGAATTCTGCTCAAAATCTCTTACAACAAATATCTACATGTCTTCAATTTATTTCAGTTTTTAACCCTATTAGTGGCAGGGGGGGGGGGGGTTGTTTTCATCCACCCCTCAGGTTTTTTCGGGAATATCTCCGAAACCGCTGAAGCTACGATGCTGAAAATTTCTGACTTTTCCTAAAACTAAATTGGGCACATTCCCTGAAAATTTCAAGTTCATACTTTACCAGTGGCGGCTCCAGAGCACTGGGAATTCGGGGGTCCTATTCGTGAAGCGAGTCATTTGGGCGAAGATCACGATGCTGATGTATTATAACTGTATGCACCAGTTTTACGAACAGTGAATGAAAGTCATCATGTGATAACATATACAAAGTTATTGTGCATCCTCTTTTGACACGTTTTTGCTATAATAGGCGGATCCAGGCGTCCAAAAAGGGGGGTTATGTTTTACCTCCCAACATAGGTGCCCTGACACCGCCTATGCATGACCAATACAATTGTAGTCCTTCTCTCATAAGAAAATTGTAACATAACAAGACCATTACCACCCTTTTTAGAAACAGTACCAACAAAAACCTTATTTACTATACTTTTTGCGTACCCCCAATCTCAATGATCTGTATCCGCCTATGATTTTTGAAAATGCATATTTTTAGGATCCATGTGATTCCTGGTTCATTCTCTATCGATCGGCAAAAGTTGCGTTAAGATTGGTTCAGAAACCTGGCTGTGATAAACAGTCAAAAATGTATCTGCAATGGTTACAGGACAATTTGCCGAACTGCGTTTTGCCGAATGCCTATTCGCCGAATGTCAATTTGCCGAATGCATTTTGCCGACGTGTCTTTTTGCCGACGTGTCAAAAAGGCGAAAGGGCTAAAAGTCGAAATGCAATTTGCCGACATGCCTTTTTGCCGACGTGCAAAAAGTCGAAACGTCAATTTGCCGAAATGTTAATTTGCCGAAATGTCAATTGATCGAAATGTCAATTTGCCGAAAAGTCAATTAGTCGAAATGCCAATTCGCCGAAATGCTAATTAGCCGAAATGTCAAATTGCCGAAAAGTCAATTAGTCGAAATGTCAATTCGTCGAAATGCTAATTAGCCGAAATGTCAAATTGCCGAAAAGTCCATTAGTCGAAATGTCAATTTGCCGAACTGCCAATTAGCCGAAATGTCAATTTGTCGAAATGCCAGTTTGACGAAATGTCAATTAGTCGAAATGTTAATTTGCCGAAATATCAATTAGCTGACACGTCAATAGGTGGAAATGCCAATTTACGGTGATGGCAATGTGCCGAAATATCAATTTGTCGAAATATCATTTATGTACATAACACTTCGCTGGCTTCACTCGCTCCATAATTACAGCGGTTTCCATATGCAATGTATTGTCTTTGGCAGTTTCGCTTCATCAATCACATGAACTATACAGTCAAAGTATCCATCACTTTAATCTAGTTACTTCCAATCTTCAATCTACAATCATCTTCGTCAAACAGACTAATCAATCTAGCTATTTTCAGATATCACACTATCAAACAACCGTTCGTCAAGCAAACTGCACGCACTCGCATGTATTTGCTCCTCTAAGCTCTCCCACCGCGCTACACATATATCGGTTAGGCTGTCAGCCCTCCGAAACACGTCCCTAACCTACACCGCCAGGGGACGGGGCGGGGACGGCTGCCTGGGGGGGGGGGGCAGAAGGAAGACGTGGATGACGTGGCGAAGACGGTGCATGAGCCACTTTAGAACGCGAAGTTGTGCGCGATCCCTCGCACCAGCTCCGTAACACTGAGCTCGCCGTCTTGTCGGCGCTCCACTGTACGCTGCACCCTTGCTGCCAGCACTACCCACTGGCGTCGCCGCCCCGGCTCCAGGCCACGGATAAGCTTGTCCAGCTCTGCGCGTCCCGTGTCCTCCTCATCCCGCAGGGTTCGGAGCAGGGTGGCCGTGCTTGGATGGTTGCAGGCCAGTCGACTCTGGAAGCCATGATGCCAGCCTTCCAGGGCGTTTGTAGTTCGGGCCAGCCCGGCCAGCGTACGATCATACTGGCACCACTCGCGCGGCTCGAAGAGCGGTGGTATCCATCTGAGAAAACAATAATATTCAAGTTACGGAGCGGTTACGGGGTACGAAGCGGAACATAGCCAGTTTGAACTCATACAACAGATGACGTCTTCTAAGATCAAACAATTTTACCTGTACCCTAGGGGAGGGAGAGAGCGTTTTAACCCTCGCCGAACCTATTGTTTTTCTACATACGCGCCGGCCGGGGGGGGGGGGTACGATCCCATCGCCGTTTCGCCCCTAATGAAGCTAGAGCATCGCGGAAAAACGAGCGTGTACGCCGTTACGAAACGCAGCGATTGGTACCCGATTTCAAGGGCTCAGATCAACCGGTGACCTCTGAGGTCAGGTCAATTGGTCTAAGGTACAGTTTTTTTAGTAAATAACTTCGCAAAAAATACTTGCAGAGTCGCGATTTTTACAGCACCGTGTTCGCCTTGCTCAGGCGCGTCGAAGCGCATACTTTTTGCTTGGGTGAGATCAACTTTAGGTGTTGACCTCTGGTCACGGTCAGGTCAGAACCCCCAGGTGATGAACTTGGTCGAAAGATTTCATGTCGCATAGCATTCGATTCGGCAGGTTTTCCCGAGTCCATTGGTGGTTTTTCCGACTCGCTAGCTCAATTTGATCAGGAGTTATTGACGGAAAACTCTAAGGACTCTAGTGACGTCATTTACGACGTCACGCAAGGCCAACAATGCAAAAGTGAAGCATCGAAGCTTGCATGGATTGCATGAAATCACGATTCCGTGTGGTTGAGATAGTTTGAGCTTCGTTTCCGGCGCCAAAATAACAGTTTTCATTTTTCCCATCGACTTAAAATGGTGAGGTCATGAAAATGACCTGACCTCATATGAACTTCAGGAAAAATCCGAGATACACAAACTGTGCGACTCTTAATCTTCGCCCGTATTGGTGTTCTGCCAGCCTCACGAACGTACGAGTACCATACCTATAAGGGGGAGGAGGGGGGGGGTCCGTTGGACCCCCTTGTCATTTGGCCACTGATCAAGCTAGAGCTTCGCGAAAAAAAAAAAACGAGCGTACTGCCCGTCACGAGAAGAAGCCGATGATGCCCAATTTTAAGGACCTAGGTCATTGATTGACCTTCCAGGTCAGGTCAATGACCCAAAAGTCGGGAAAATCGGGACCTGTTAGAACGTCGTAAAGTGTGACTGCCATGGGGTTTTCGGGGTGCTGATCACGAATATCATGTTAGTTTAGATCACAGATGATATCTTCATGCATTTAAACCAGGTCGGGTCAGGTCGGGTCAGGTCAACCAGTAGGGGTCCCGCCGAGTATTCGTAGTACATGTCAACCGCCTCTGACAGCTTCGTAACATGTTACGAAGGAAACAAAACTACTTCGTAAATGTTCAAATGCTTCCTAAATTCGTATTCAGCTAAAAAAAACTACCCCAGAAACATGTAAAACTCGAAAAAGTGAACCGAGGTCATCAAAGGTCAATGACCTGACCTGGCTTTCAGGTGACCTTGACATCCACTCTAATGCATGGGGGCGACATCATATCCCATGTTTGAACGCTTGAAACCACGAAAAGACTGCAAACGCGCGGCTACGCCAAGCCGACCTAAGCCGAATCACGATTCCGGCGAAACATGTTCCCGAAAAGTAGGTCATAGGTCAAAGGTCATTAGAGTCAAGGTCATGAAATTTTCAGCGAAGGTGTAAAATTGCTTAACGCGAGGGTACTGAAAGTTTTGTTGCGATCGGCCGCTTTTTACGCGAATTATTCGCGAAAAACCGAGGGCGGGGTTCGTTCGACCCCCCCCCCCCCTATACGGACGAGGGTTAACCCGCGCACCGACGGGGGTCTGCGCCAACTTAGTACCGACGGGGGGGGGGCGGATGACCGCCCCCCCCCTGAGATCTCGAGAACGAAGCAAGATAGCGACAAGCGGTAAACGGCATCGGATACGCACGGACAAGGTCTACAATTTTTACTAAGGTCATTTTCAGGTCAGGTCAAAGATGACGTCACAGGGGTCGAAAAAGTCAAAATGGCGGCGCTAGATATGGAGAGGGTTTTTCTCGAATAACTTTCGAAGTAGTCAAGATAGGAACAAACTAAGGGCATCATCGTGATCCTCTCGTCAATCCGCATCGAATGATATATATGTTGACCTCGGAAGGTCAAGGTCAAAGGTTGACCTCAGGTCACGTGACCTCGAGGTCATCATGTATATCATTCGATGCGTCTTGACGAGCTGAACACAATGAGACCATCCGCGCGGCTGTATCTTGTTCCTGTACGGAGTTATTGGCAAAAAACCGCTGGTGACCTTTGATGACGTCACATGACCTCACAGCTGCCCAACAGCAAAACGGACCTCAATGTAGTGAAGGTTGATCGTATATGAAGTCATGTATGGTATATGGGGCCATTCCGACCCGTTTTAGTGGTAAAAACAGGGAGTTGATTTTTCCCCCATTGACTTATAATGGGGAGGTCGCGAAATTGACCTGACCTTAGGTCACCGATATCAAAATTCCGAGATATACAAATTGTAGTTACTAATGACCTAATAATATCCTGCGACTTTCAAAGGCCTCCGACATCTACTGTAGCTCTGGCACGGTGACAAAGTTGCAAAAAAGTGACTTGAGGTTGGGTCATTCAAAGTGACCTGGTGACCTGACCTTAAAAGGTAGGAGGTTCAAACTTGCACACCATGTGTAAAATTGATGAAGGTATAGTCATAACAAATTTCGCGGCGCTACGCGCCGCGGTTTTCCCGCTATTCGCGAAAAACCTCAGGGGGGGGCGGATATCCGCCCCCCCCCGTCGGTGCGCGGGTTAATGAATACTAGGTACCGTAAGTTTCATCTCCCTGTGAAAGCTCCTCTGTCAGAGAGGGCGTTGCGAAGTTGCGACATCGGAAGACCGTGCAGAGGTTCACTTATAACGTCATAGGTCAGTGACCTGACCTGACCCGAAAATGCGGCTGATGTCAGAAGGTCCGACTCGAGTCAAAGGTCAGGTACCGTAAGGTGGGGCTATTTAAGACAGTGGGACTATTTGAGACAGTATTTAAAATTGCTATAAAATAAAAACCGTTTGAAATTCATGCTTAATTTTTGCTCAGGGGATTTACTGCTCGATTCGACACCTTCCTGAGCAAAAATATCACATAAAAATCAAACGCTCTTCATTTTACAACGATTTTAAATACTGTCTCAAATAGCCCCACTGTCTCAAAAAGCCCCACTTTACGGTATGTCAAGTTTCAGCTCTCCATCTGCAGCGTATAGCGCCCTCACGCTCGGCAGCGTGAGGGCGCTACTGGCGCCAGCTGGCGGCTGCTGGTGTATCTACCCACCCACGTATTGCTGGTTGAGGGGGGGGGGGCGTCTAACGCCCCAGCTGACAGCTTCCCAACTAAAAGACGCAGTGAGACGCGCAAGGTGACAAACAGATATCTGTCAACAATACGCACCTGATAGACAAACAATTTAAGTTTAGAGATCACAGGTCAGGTAAAAGTTCAAAATTAACGTGTTTTCGTCCTTTTTCGTGCATTGTATTTGTTACGCTTACCGCCCTGCCACGTCGTGGCCGATGTAGGTTCTCTCGAAGTAGGGCAGCAGCTCAACGGCCTCGTCGGGCAGCTGTCGACCGACCTCTCCAAAGCCGTCCGGGATGTCTGCCTCTTGCAGGAACGCGATGGCCGGCAGGCAGCGTAGCTGAAAAAGAAAACGATGACATGATTTCAGCGATCATTTCCTGGATGTCTGTAAAATATCGAGACAACTATCGACAAACGGCGTTTGATATATCGTTCAAAGATCTACATACAACTTTTACAAATAAAAAATATTTTTGGGTCAGGTCAAAATTGAGGTCACCAGAGGTAAAACAAAATAAAATGTTTTGGAAATAGCAACCCTTATAACACTTCAACTAAGAAAGATAGACATATATAGAACGATTCGCCCCCCCCCCTCCCCACCCCGCCGGGAATAGGGTTTAACAGTATAACTAAATAAACACTTAAAGAAGGATACCAAAGTGACAAGTTACTGAAATACGAATTTTCGACGAAATATCTGCAGCGTTGTAGACAAAATAGTTACCTTGAGCGCGAAGTCGGCGTCGGCTGCATACGCAGCCTGAAGCCCCAGCTCCTGAACCTTCCGCCAGACGGCTTGCGACATGTGAAAGAAGCAGAGCTTCAGTTCCTTCTCCGGAAACACAGCTCTTATCGCGTTTTTGGCGGCGATCTCCAGGTCGATAAGAATAGACCCGACAAAATCGGTATCGGGAAACCTTTCCAGAATCGCTTCACGTACGACACTCAGTAGCTGTCTGTACGTTCTCTCGGTCTTGTCTACGAGTAGCGCATAGACACATGGGAATGTCTGTCCCAGCACACACGTGTGCAGAGTGTATAGCTGTGTGAACAGAGCTGGTGCCGCTTTAAATGTGCCATCCGCGAACCAATGCTGTCCGTTGGCGAGCTGCATTAGACCCCAGTCACTGCTGAATATCAGCATCCGCTTGCCTTGGTAGCCGTCATCCTCTGCACTATCATACAGGAGGAAACGCTCTGGTGGCTGATCGGGTTTTGGTTTCGTCAGACGGTCTTCGTTGGCGATCACGAGCTCCTCGATCGTCCTCGGCTGGCCGATGTTCTGCCCGACAGCCTGTCTGTACCGCCGTATATATCTGTGAACAGAACACAGCTTTTAGCAAAATTCCATTTCAATATAGTACGTTTTCGGAGTACACTTACACACTTACACACACTTTCACACTTTACAGTACTTAAAGTGTGTACTTACAGTACAGGTCTAGCGGGTTTTAGCGGTAGGTCGCTCGGCGAGCGGGAGGGCAACCAGTTCCGCCTCTGTATCGGCGACCATTTGCTCCGCCCAGTTACTCGCGAGTGCGTACTACGACACATAGTAAAGTGGGGAGGGAAGGGTCAGAGTGGCAGCTTGCGTAGAGGCTAGAACCGGTTTCTATCGTCTGGGCCGGCGACACGGCATGCGGTCAGGGGACGGGGAAAGGTCAGAGGTCACTCACAATGTGCAGTACCGCGTCCCGTCCTCTCTGCGTGCTGACCAGCGCACGACTTCGGCCGTTGGCCAATCGGTATTGAACGGTCAAGGCCACACGTAGCCAGCGGGCGGAGTGAGCCGGCAGCGTGCCGATCCATAGGTAGTCGTAAGTTTTAGCCGCTTACCATTGAGGCCGGGAGACGACTGTAATGTTATTTCTTGGGAACAGTTCTGTCACTTAACCCGCGCCCCGTTAGGGTCTACCAAGCATCGGTCCCATTGGGGGGGGGGAGTATTTTGCCCCCCCCCTAAGATCTCGAGAACCACGCAAAATAGCGACAAGCAGCAAACGGTGTTGGATGGCCCCAACGAGGAAATAGCTTTTGGTTCAATTTCATTGACCTCAGTCAAACCGATGACGTCACAGGTCAGGTCAAATGTCGAATTTTCACCGTTTACAGGCATATCAAGAAATGAGTTGTAAAATCGAGTAAAATGCATGTCATTCATCGATAAGGAATCGATGAATGACAATATTCGATGGGGAATTGTTCGTCCAACACATATTTTGCTATTTGAGGTCACCGATACCAGGTCAGGTCACAGAGGTCAGGTCACTGCTTGTCACAATATGAAAATAACTATTATGTTATGCATGTTTCCTGGTCCATTTTACATGACAAATGCGATTATGTGGGTCAGGCAACCTTTGGGGCCAGTTTAGGTTATGTTCTGGTGAAGGTCAAGTAAAGTTTTGGTCAGGGCCTCGGCTAAGGAATTTTGACTGGTGGGCCACTTGGGCAGCGACATGGACTGACCTTCGTAGCCATAGCCCCCCCAATTTCGATTTCTCCCCAGATTTCGGCCACTTTATTCTGCAAAAAACGCCAGGATGGCATTCAAAAAATGTAAAAAAAAAACGGGGCTCGATCTCCCCCCCCCCCGACTCTTCAGAGAGAGAGAGAGAGAGAGAGGAGAGAGTAGGGACCCACAACCCTCTCAGTGGTGATACTCCCGTGGTGCACATAAAATCGCACAAGCACGGAATATATAGTCTACGACATATCGTAGTACATATCGACATATCGACACGTCGTAGACTATATATTCCGTGGCACAAGTATGCACACAATATTGACGCAAATTATAAAACTTTGGACGATAACTTACGGCCGTGAGTGGATCGCTCGCCGACTAGTCGGATATTCGGAAGCGGTCGGACGGGATCGGGCGTTGTTGGGTGGATCGGGAGGAATTGTGAAGAGCACGAGTGCAACTTTATATATAAAGTGGGTTGTAGCAGGAACCCCAAAAGGGGGTTGTAGCAGCAACCCCAAGCCAACATCTCTGAAAATGATTTAAGCCTATTGGTGTCGCATGGAAAATAATTGACTCAAAAGCCCAAGCGCACTGCGCAACCCTGCTATTTTCTTAAAAAAAAAACTAAGTTATATACACGTTCACTTCTGGTTGTTACGTCAATAACATTTTAACGATTGTTCTTGCCGGGTATCGTAAAAGGGACCAGTTACTTTAAATGACTGTATTCGAAATTCGTAAACTATTAGCCAAGTGTCGATACAAATTCACCTCTTTTTCACATCATCCATCATTCACCCAGACTGTTCTACATTTTCCATAATTTTCCATCATTGTTGGATTTCATGTGAAATCTGCACGGATCCTCCTCATAAGGATAATTGATAGGCACTTTCAGAAATAACACCCTCCCCCCGCCAACGGAGCGGACCAGGCGCACACGAGCTCATGACCCGAGCGCCTCCTCCAGCAGGCAGAGCCGCCGGGCGGGGCGGTGCACTTCTCCTCCACGGACCAGTACGCGCGCCGACCGGACGCGGCCATCAGGCCCAGGAACTGTCTCGGTGACGCGTCCCAGGGGCCACTGGCCGCGCGGGCTGCCGTTCTCCACGATGAGGACGAGATCCCCCACTGCCAGGCTGCGACTTTCCGATCTCCACTTCGGTCGGCCTGCCAGTCCTGGTAGATACTCTCGAAGCCATCTCCGCCAGAACTGGTCTGTTAGCGCCTGACTCTGCCGCCAAACTCGTGTAGAGCAGCTCTCTTCGTCTCGGAACAATCCTGGAGGCAGACGCCTGACCGGACGCCCCAACAGCAGATGATTGGGCGTCAGTGCCTCCAAACTGTTCGGGTCTGTCGACACGTGCGTGAGTGGGCGGCTGTTGACGACTGCTTCCACTTCAGTCAGAACAGTGTGCAGTACTTCCTCGGAGACAAGCAGCCGCCCGAGGACAGCTCTCAGCGCGCGTTTGACAGTCCCCACCATCCGTTCCCAGGCGCCGCCCATATCACAGGCAGCCGGTGGGTTAAAATGCCACCGGATGTCGCGTTGAGTGAGCTCATCGCTGATAGTGTGCTGGTTCCATTGTCGCAGCAGCTGGCGTAGCTCTTTCTCTCCAGCCCGCAGACACGATCCGTTGTCACAGAAGACGTCTGATGGCGGTCCACGTCGTGCGATATACCTCGGCGTCGTCGGCAAAGAGGGCAGTCAGCCACTACCTTCTTGACTTCTTGCCGGGCGCGCGGCACCCAGTAGGCCTGACGGAGCTCATTTAGGACATGTTCGGTTCCCGCGTGCATCAGTCGTCGATGAACTGCGTCGATGATGAGCCTCGAGATGCAGTTACTTCTCGGGAGGATCACAGGGTGGCGGGTCTCTTCTGGCACAGGAGGATTGGATAGCCGCCCGCCGACTCGTAGCAGCCCCTCTGAGTCTAGCATTGGAGTCAGCTGCAGAAGACTGCTTGACGAAGGGAGCTCCTTACCTTCGTTTAGTGCCTCAATCTCTTGAGCAAATGCCTCCCGTTGGGCACATCGCACCGCCAGGTTTTCTGCTTCATGTAGCTCCTCGGCGGATAGTGGCTCCCGCTCGAGAGCGTTTGGCTGTGCGACTTGAGGCTTCAGCGCTCCCAACATGTTCCTCGTGAATCGCAAAATCCAGGCGACAGTTCTCTTGTAGCGGACCCATTTACAGAACCGTTGTGGGTCAGGCAGGACAAGGATGGTCTGCCGGGCGCTGTGTTGTGTGACCATCACGGTCTTAAGCTCTGGATCCTCATCTTTCAGTGACAGCTGCTGGTCTGGTGGCCAGGCACCTTCTGACTGCCACAAGAAGTCGGGTCCCCTTATCCATCGGCTGTCTCTCTTCAGGTCGGAGGCTTTCGATCCCCGCGAGCAGTCGTCTGCTGGGTTGAGCTCGGTCGGCACATGACGCCACTGTCTGGGCTCAGACACGTCACGGATCTCGGCCACACGATTAGCAACGAACGTGTGGAAGCGCCTGCTGTTGTTCTCGATGTAGCTGAGGACGACTTTGCTGTCGCTCCAAAAGACCGTGTCACTTTGATTCAAGTTCAGCTCCTGAGCTACTTGGGCCGCCAAGCGCACAGCCAGCACCGCCGCCTGCATCTCTAGACGGACGATCGTCAACCTTTTTAGCGGCGCCACCCTACATCGGCTCATAATCAAGGAGCAGTGGATAGCACCGTCTGCATATTCGTGCCTGAGGTAAGCGACTGCCCCAAAGGCTCGCTCAGAGGCGTCACAGAAGACGTGTAACGTCTTCGTGACTGTTTTCTTGGTGTGTTGCTGATACGCGTAGCATCTTGGGACTCGAATCTTCTCTATTGACTGCAACTCTGAGATCCAAGCTGCCACTTCGCTGCACTCCTCATCAGAGAGAGGGCTGTCCCAGGTGTGTTCAGTCGACCAGAGTGTCTGCAGTATCATCTTCCCCATGACCAGGAAAGGGCTCGCCAGCCCCAGTGGGTCAAAAATACCAGCGATAACCCGTAGGATCTCGCGCTTTGTAGTTGGTGTTGTCGGCCCGACATTCGTGACTGACGGAGCACTGGGACTCAGCTCATCTAGCTCTGCATCCCACTGCACACCCAGGACCTTCTGTGTCGGGAGTGACGCGCTTAGATCTACGGCACCAACTGCTCTGTCTTCAATCGAAATTCTCGCAAGCACCTCCCTGGAGTTGCTGTTCCATTTGCAGAGTCTGAAGCCTCCCCTGGAGAGCAGCGCCGTCACCTCTGCCGCCGTCTCTTGTGCTGTATCGTTGTCTGGTTCAGAGGTGGCCAAATCGTCCATATAGAAGTCTCTTTCGACAATTTCACGTGCTCTGCGTCCAGCTACAGTGTCATCACTCTTCTCCTGGGCTGTTCGGCGTAGTACATAGCTGGCTGATGCTGGAGAGCTCCGAGCGCCGAATATTACCCTGTCCATTTGGTATATATCTGGCGGACGGGTGCTATCCAGATCGCGCCAGAGATAGCGGAGTGAGGCCTGGTCCTCAGCTCTCACAGCCACCTGCATGAACATCTTCTCTATGTCGGCGCAGAGACCAACGGAACCTAGACGGAAACGTAGCAGCACCCCTGGGAGTGATCTTAGGAGGTCCGGTCCAGACAGCAGATGCCCGTTAAGGGAGCTACCTCCATAGCTGCTCGCTGCGTCGAAGACCACGCGGAATTTGCCTGGCTTGCTGGTGACTGCGTGATGAGGCAAATACCAGGTGCGGTCTTGTTGTACCAGCAGTTCCTCATCATCAAGCTTCCGCGCATATCCTTTCTTCACATTTTCCTCCATACTCTGTTGGTACGCTGTCGCCTTCTCAGGAGC